GATGATGATGATGATGATGATGATGATGATGATGATGATGATTGGTATGGCACCCAGTGTGCCGATAACCACTGGGACCCAAACCGTCAGTGGTGGTCCCAGTGGTTATCAGTACACTGGGTGCCATACCAAAAAAAACTTGGAGGGCACTTAGAAAATCTGTGCATCGACAACATTTCCATCTGTCAATTACGAAAGGCCACATTGCTTGGATCTGCACATATACTATGCCGATACACTACGACATCCTAGGCTCTTGGGAAGAACTTGATGCGAATGAAGGCCAACACCAGCTAAAGAACTGGCAGCTGTGATTTCACGTTGTTGTGTATACAATAATAATAATGTCAGCCAGGTTTGAGACACCATTTAGGACGAAATCCTGCAAGAACACAAGCAACCAAAGGGACAGGCCTGAAACATCCCACAAAGGAGGTCTAGCTGGAAGATCATTTCCGACTGTTATGTTTGCTACATGTGGAGACTATTGGATGATAGAGGCCAGATTTGTGTCCCTGTCTAAAGTGGCAGCAGTTAAAGCTAATTTATGCGCAGGAAGTTGGCTGATTATTAAACGGAGAAGGCTTGGGACATCCCCAGCCACTGTGCAGTTTCATCACACGAGGGCCATTATGGGTTGCATTTATCAAATCTTTTGGTTTCCTAGCCAACATTTCATGAGTTCGAACCCCTCCAGCGCTGGATTGTTGAGTCACCCTTCGTGGTGAGTGTTAGAGATGCATGTATTGATTTTTCTTTAAAAGGCATTGTATCCAACCCTTTAAGTAAGCTACGGCAAGATTTTCTTTTTCTTTCAATAAATAAGGGAAGCGACGTGGTATTTCTCGAAAGCAAAGCCTAAGTGATGCCTTGAAGCCCTCCATAGTTTTAAATCGGATGTGGAAAACAATCTGCTCCAGCCTCTTTCTTATCTGGAGGCCATTTATTGCAGCGATCGATCAGAGCCCTTTTTATGGGAGAAACGATAAAACAATTCTTAGCCTGCATGGGGATGTGAGTGTGTGTGTGTGGTTAGAAATCGCCCAATTCCACCTTCTCTTGGATCTGTAAACCACACAATCTGGGCTGCCAGTAAATCTCTGCAGATCTCTCTCTATTTCTCTCCCCCTCCTCCTATCGAAATTCTCTTCGCCTCCAGGCCAAGTCATGCTGCTAAATATTGCTGACCACTTTTTCTGTTATGGCTTTCATGTCACTTAGCTATTGAAAGTAAGATGGATTTGTACTATTTCTCCACTCTCCTGTGCTTTCCCTACACCCTAGGTCTACCAGGAGAGGCCATTGGAGGAGAAACGTCACGTGACAGAGGGGTGCCAATGTTATTCTTTAAGGGTGTCAAGACCCTGTCAGTTTGTGAAATAAATATTGGGAAACAACGAAATGCAAAAAGCGACCTACTACGACAGCTCTGCGATCTATGGTGGCTATCCCTACCAAGGAGCAAATGGTTTCGCTTACAATGCTAGTCAGCAGCAATATCCTCCACCTTCTGCTTCAGCGCTGGTGGAAACCGAGTACCATCGACCTGCATGCTCTTTGCAGTCCCCCGGCGGCGCCAACAGCACCGTGTCCCACCACAAGGCCAATGAAATCAGCGAGAGTTGTATGAGGACCATCACCGGTCAGTCTCTCCAGCCCCCAGTCTTGCCAGAGCAGCCCCAGCAACAGCCTCCGGCCCAGCAGGCACCACCACTGCCCCCTCCTCCGCCCCCATCCGTGTCACCACCTCAAAATGCCACCACCAACCCCACCCCGGCCAACACCACCAAGAGCTCCATCCTGAACTCGCCCACCATGTCCAAACAAATCTTTCCCTGGATGAAAGAGTCTCGGCAAAACACCAAGCAGAAAAACAGCGGCTCCAGCTCAGGTAATGGAACAGGGGGAGGGGGATTAACTGGAGAAAGCAGGAGGGTTCAGTACTTACTAGCACAAGCAGCTGATCCACCACCCGCCAAAGTTCAGCCAAACTTCTTGGGAGCCCTGCCTGCCAAGTATTTTATGGTATCAGGAAAGAGATGGAATTTTCCCTAGCTATTTCATTGGGAAACTGAACCTGCAGAATCTCTTGAGATCACAAGCATTATTTTATTTCATTTGCGTGTGCGCGCGCACACAAACACACACACACACATCTCCAGAGAGTGGGGAATGAGAGAGACTTCAGTTTGCTTTATGGTGACCTCTGTTCAACTCTGATAAAAGAATGTGAAGTTCTTTTGCTTCTCTCTTTTCAAGCTTGGATGCCTGTTAGAATCATCTTCAGCATTCCATACTCCAGCCTCTCCCTCCCCCTTTGGCAGCTATTAAACCAGAGCCAGATATGCACAAGTCCCTGGCCTGTCTTCCACCAGCGTTAGGACTTTTTTTGGCCTGATTCTATTCCAGCAATAAGCCAGCGACCTATTCCTGCTGAAGTGTAATGAGAATAAAATAGCTCATCATGATCTTCAGTCAAGATCAATGCTTTGTTTGATATTCATAACCTCGTTTGATTTTAGCTCACAGACTGGCAGCCTTATAGGAGTGGGAACAAAGCTTAGGCTTCTTTAGCACTCTGCAGGCAGGTCCATAAATACATTATGGGTGGATTATAGTGTTTATCAACAGTGTTATTACATAAGTAAACCCAAATCGATGAGAAAAGTATTAGCGTCATTCTCCCCAGGCATTTGGCTTCTACTTACCACTTACTTCCGCAATTTATCTTGGGCTGAGAAAGTAGATTCTAAACATTTTTGCAAATGTTTTCCTCAATGCATTCTACTGCTGTTACAGTGGAAAATCAGCATAGGCAGGCTTTATTATTTAATATATTCAGTGCTCTATGGTCTATATTTATCTACATATATATTATGTAGTTTAGAAAACCAGTTTGAACCCATATATCTATTCAATCAGAATACTAGGAGTAGGTGCTCCAGCCTAAATGCTTGTATTTGGAAATAACTACTACAGAGCCTTTCAGGTAGATATACTTCAGACTGCAGCCTTATCTCATTAAGTTCAATGGCTGGAAGCTTAAGTACATAAATTAACCTTAAGCACATAAACCTTGAAAGAACAATTTATACACTTCCCAACTCCCCCCCTCCCCCGAGAATCAGAGTTGAGAGTAGCTTCAGCAATGGTCTCTTCACTCATGTATTGTGCAGAAAAATCCAGGGCATTTTTGAAAACATCCCAGTATTCTTCTAGGCACAGGACAATTAAGTAAATAAATAATGAACAGTCTTACATGTATTCTAAAATCATTACTCAAGGCAGGCCACTTCTACACTCTAAGAGCAGGCGACAAAGGGTCCTCTGGATGATTTGGACTACATCTCCCATAATCCCACTGCACTGCTTATGTGAGCTGAGCCTGATGGGACTTGCAGTACAAAGTCTCTGCTGGGCATCAAATATTGTATCCCTTCAGTCACAGATGTGGCCTTGTATCTCTATTTCATTCTCTTCATTTCAATGGGCCCAAACTGGTTTTAAGCCAAGTAATATTTTACTGCAGGTGGGTGTCCCAGGTTACCCTGGGAAGGAAGTGGAGGGAGTATGGATGTTTGCCTTTAGGATTATATTTTGATTTTATTGACCTAAGATAGTTATATTATTGTGCTGATTACATCTTGAAGCTTTATGGGCTGCTTTGAAGATCACATTCTCCTTACCTCACTAAAGTTAGGTTATTTCAGTTCATTTAAAATGAAATAAATTTTCTTCTTCTTGAAGACCACATGAAACAAACAGCTTCGACTGGACACTCATTCAATTACTTGAGAATAATCCAACTCATGTAACAAGCAACTTCTGTGTTGGGGTTTGGGGCTAATGAAGAATAACCTCAAAGTCTTTATTTGCATTGTTTACCTTTCTTGTAAAGATTACATTTCTGGAGAGCTGTTATTTCTAGTAGATTTTGAAGTTTTTTTGGTTGTTTTTCTAGAAATGGTTGCTTAATGCAGTTGTTACCAGACCAGGGAACAGTAATGGGATGGAAGAGGCCAGAACTTCTTTTAGCCTGGTAGCCTTCAAATGTGCTGGACTTCAATTCTTATGATCCCCACTCTGCATAGCTATTCCATCTGGGGCTATGGAAGTAGAAGTCAAATATATTTGGAGGGCCCTGGGTTTGGACGGACTTGTAATATAATGTCAGTGCTCTTCTTCTTATGATAGCTTGCTAGCCACAGTATGGGGGAGGACACTGACCATTCATCATGATTGATTCAACACTGGATGATGGAATGGAAGAGCACCACCTTGTACTTTGACTCAGGCAGCAAATGGCCTTTGATCAGCCTTCCTTCAATCTACATACATTTGCTATTATTTTGGGCAGAGCAAGTAGTCCAATTCTAACATCAAATCTCTCAGTGTACTTGCAAATTTAGCAAGTAGTAGTTTATTATTTCTGGTTGTAGTATATTAGGTATTGTCCTACTTATTTTGTTCTTTGTATGATTTGTATAGGTGAGAGTTGTGCTGGTGATAAAAGCCCCCCGGGGCAAGCTTCTTCTAAAAGAGCTCGCACGGCTTACACCAGTGCCCAGCTGGTAGAACTGGAAAAGGAATTTCACTTCAATAGATACCTTTGCAGGCCACGAAGGGTAGAGATGGCTAACCTGCTAAATCTCACAGAAAGACAGATCAAAATATGGTTTCAGAATCGCAGGATGAAATACAAAAAGGATCAGAAGGGCAAAGGCATGATGACCTCTTCTGGAGGACAGTCCCCCAGCAGAAGTCCTGTCCCTCCAGCTGCTGGAGGCTACCTGAATTCTATGCATTCCCTCGTCAACAGTGTTCCATATGAGCCCCAGTCACCACCATCTTTCAACAAGACTCATCCGAATACCTACGGCATCTCTACATCATATCCGGCTCCTCTCAATAACTGCCCGCCTCCTCAAAAGAGATACACCGGAACTGCAGCAGTGACGCCTGAATACGACCCCCATCCTCTTCAAGGCAACGGTTATGGCAATCCACATATACAGGGAAGCCCCGTCTATGTTGGGGGCAATTATGTGGATACCATGGGGAATTCGGGACCATCCATCTTTGGTCTAACTCACCTCCCTCACCCTTCCTCTGCCAACATGGACTATAGTGGGGCAATGGGCAACAATCATCATCATGGACCTTGTGATCCACACCCAACATACACAGATCTTACTTCTCACCATCCTTCTCAGGGAAGAATTCAGGAAGCACCCAAACTGACCCATCTGTAATATACCATTGGTTATATAGTGAATCTTAAAAACTTCCCAACCTTTTTTTTTTAAGCAATGGGAAAAAAAAACTTTTAAATTCTCCCCTCCCACCCCCGCCCAACACACACAGTTTTATTTGGTTCTGGGTTTTGTTCTGATGTGTTTCTTTTTGGTAAAATGCGTTTTCCAGTTTATGTGACGTAGCAATATTTGTTGCTTGAATTGCTCTCTAGTTTCAATAGTGGATATTTATCTCCTGAACTCTTGCCTTGTGATCTCGCTTTGAGAGTATGCATAGGCTTTATACTCTTAACTTCGACTCTTTTATCAAAACAGGGTATTATGAACAAATTTTCTAAACAGACAGTTCTTAAATGTGAATTTGTTCGTACAGAATCAGTCCCACCTGGGAAACATTTTTTATTTTAATTGCACTTCTTTTAGATAATGAGAAAAAAAAGGCGCTTGAACAGGGGCTCCCTGAGCAAAATGATTAATACGTGTACGTCTTTCAACGTGTGTATGCTGGTGAACTTTCAGATTTATTTATATTTTTTGCAAACTTTGAATAATCTAAGTGTTTAAATTTTTTATTTATCCCCATCTGTTCATATTTATATATATAAAGATATTAAAAAAATAAACTTCTGTACCCTGAGTATTCAGGAGATATTTACCTGGCTATATGTTCAATGGCATACAAAGAGAATATCATTTGAAAAAAAACCAGAATTCTTTTATTTAAAAAGGAAAAGAAAAAATGCAATAAAATCTGGAAAACAACACGTCAGGGTAGGAAAGGAAATGGATGTCTGTAGACTAAACTAAGTAGAAAACGGGTAAACCCGAATTTGACAACAAAGAATAATAGATTTGTTTTGAAAACGATACATTCCTTGCTGCTCACGTTCTTAAAACTAAATAAATAAATAAAAGTTTTTATTCTGAATAATAGAGATTTAAGGTAAGATCATTTGATTGCCATCCTCCACCCCCCACCCCCAAAGAAAAAAAGGAGCGAAGAAAGAGAACTTCGAGGAACCTGGGTTTTAAATACACAAATTCCCAATAGCCAACTTTTAATTTTTTCTCCCTCTTTTTTCTGACTGGGCTTTTAAAGCAGCCAAAAATTAAGTAACTATTTCCAGAAGGTACACGCGCTCGTCTGTTGCCTTAAAACCTAACAAAGCCTCTTCTTAAAGGCTGGTCGAACAAGCGTTCGTGTTCTCGAGTCCATATGCAGATACCGTGGCTATTTTCCTGAGTCAGCGCTTGTCTAGCGACCTCTCCACATAAAGTCAGACGCGCAGGGCGCTAAACTGCTCCAAGCTGGAAAAGATCCCGGTTTGTGACCATGGCTGATTGTCGGAATCTCTCTCTGCAGATGTTTTTCGGGACCGTAGTCCTAGGTAGTCCCGGTCTCTCGGCTTGGCTACGGCTGTTCTCTGCAGCGTGGACTCGAGTCCAAGACGGGCGAGGTGGGGGAGAAACAAAGACTGTTTCTGGAGGAGCCTCTTCCTTGAACGAAGCTCAGGTGCTGTAACTTCTCTCTGGAGGCTGTAGGCTGATTCGCCGCTCGGGCGCAGGCTGTTCTCTCCTTCGCCCTGTCGGGAAGCCCTCTGCGCGAGGGGAGCCCCTTGAAACGATCGGGGGCTTTCTACCCCCACACTTTCCCTCTGGGGGACAAAATGGACAATCGAGGAACAGTGATGGGCAAGTTTTGTTGTTTTTCTAAAGAGACGAAATTGAATAAGAGTCCGCCGACTTAAAACGAGCGCGTGGGCTCATATTTGCTATGGCACGGATTCAAAGCACATTTGTTTACAGGCAGATACAATTTATCATCCCAGTAATGAAGAAACGGATTCCGCAACAATAAATCTGTTCGCGAGGCGACCTGAGCAGCTGAGAAAGAGCTGTTTCTTACAGTCTCCTCCATCAACTAACCGGCTTCTCCTCTCTGGCTATAAGAATTGAGGAATTGTTATCATTCCGCACATCTTGTTAATTTAATTTCCTTTCACATCCCAGTCTTTCCCACTCTTTCTAGATCAGAGACAGAAGGGGAAATAGAAACAAAATCATCTGTATAATATAAGTGCACGTAATAACCCCCCCCCCAATAAACACATGCGTACACACATTTTCTAAACAAACGTTTGATGTAGCCCTACAAGATCGTTTCTGTCCCCTCAAATACATCTGTGCTAACAAACATGGCGAATTCATGGACGGAACCCTCCCCCCTTTATTTTCAAACAAGAAAACATGTAATTTAAAGACATGAGGTTTATTCCCTGTCTCGAAGTATGTACATGCAGGTCTGCCTTAATATGAATAAGAAGGTAGGATACGTCACCACATGATCTAGCCATTCTGTTTAATCTCAATAAATTTGCCACCATATTAGTTTCCGTTTCTAAAATATTATCAATCCTCTTCTTTTTTTCACCCAAGAATCCCTCTGGTTTTTTTTTCTTCCTGTTATATCTCTCCTCCCCTCCATATCTGAAAAAGCTTCCAGTGGTCAGTGATTGTGCAATTATACGCTATTCCGCATTCTAATTTTGCATTCCATACTTACGGCATTTTATCTTCGCTTAACCATTTTCCACGTATACTTACAGCTGCGGCTCCAGACTGAAGAGGGATCACCACATCTATTGAAATAGCAAAACTATTTAAAAGAGAGTTATGGGGTGGAGGAATCAGTTTGAAGCTCCAGAATGTAGCTTTTGGAAAAAGATGAAGTGGAAAGGGATTGTGGGTGTTATTTTTCTCTTCAAAATTAATCGAGGAAAGAGTGCATTATATCAATGCATTATATCAATTTATGACATTCAAAAAGCGAGAGCAAGAGAGAAAGTGAGAGGGAGAAACCCCTGGCTAGAATGAGGACAGAAGAGCCGATCCTTAAGAAGACATATAAGAGAAAGGAAGTGGTTTTCCCCCCCTTTCCCATCTGATTTCAAAGGCATTTATTTCTCCCTTCCCTTCATGCTGCATATATTTTATCTGCATGCCTTCTTACAGAAAATGTGTGTTCTGGGTTTTTCCTCCACATAGCAGCTTACATTGTCTACTTAGATTTCATTTATAGAAAACACAGAAATAAGAAAGGAAAAAATGCTATTTTTTTTAACCAACTAAGGAGAAAAGCTCTTTGTTCCAGGTGGTTTTTCTATTAGACTGCTCACCAAAAAAAAAAAAGAAAGAAAGAAAGAAAAGAAAGAAAAAGAAAGAAAAAGAAAGAAAAAGAAAAAAGAAAAAACCCAACCCACACAAAAAACAAAAAACCTTCCCAATAACCTTCCCACACCAATTTAACTCACAAAGCCTCAGTGAACCGAATTGCCCCAGCCTCCTCCCTTGCTCGTCTTACCTCCTTGTGGGGTTCTTTTACACATAACATACAGAAGCGCGCGCATGCACGCACACACACACACACACCAGCAACGCCTTTACTGTTATCAATATTCCATAAATAAATAATGAAATAAAATCCTTAGGACTGTAGCTGTCTTCGATGCAAGTTAAATAACTGAAGTTTCTATCCTTCATTGAGGGGGTGGGGGGTGAAGTGGGATCCATTTGGGAAAATAAGCAGCAGCATCCCTTTTGCTTATTTACTGGAGTTTCTTCCTCCCCCCACCTCTTCTTTTTTGCTCAGCCACATTTCATCTCGGAAAGAGCAAGAAGCTCGAAATGTGTTCTTAAGGGCCAGAAGCTGTCAAGGCATTTTGGCCGAGAAGATTGATCGCGCCTAGGCTTCAGCAGAGCTTTGTTTGAAGTAAAGCAAGAAAATTTTAAAAAAAACCCCAAAACCTCCAACAACATGTATATTTGCAAGGCACCCTCTTTCCCCCCTCCCTCTTTCTTCTTAAATAACAATTTCCGATCTGAATTTTATGTTACAGATTATTACAATATCCCACCCCTCCCCCTCACGAGCTCTCCTTCCGTATTGTGGGGATTTATTCGCTCAAAACGAAAAGGGCCTGTTCCTTTTTGTTTTGCTCAGATATGCTTCATCAGAAGATGGAGCAACCAGTTTATCATCTGAACCACTTGCAAACAATTCCCAGGGTTAACTCAGAATTTCAAAGTACTCAAAGTAGTATGGGATATATTCTGACGTCCTTGAAATATATAGGAATGCCACACAACGTTCTTCTCTTCTCTTCTCTTCTCTTCTCTTCTCTTCTCTTCTCTTCTCTTCTCTTCTCTTCTCTTCTCTTCTCTTCTCTTCTCTTCTCACATTGCACTGGTGTGCTTTGCTTCAGAGGAGAGGAAATACCCTTTTCTATCCCTTGTTACTGAATCCTCCTGTTCCTTCCATTGTCTCTCCCCCTCCCCTTCCTTTCGTTTCCCGTTTTACTTGAGGCGATTGAAGAGCTGTTCTGTCCAAACCTTCGGCATTGTTGAATGAGCAAATCGGAAGAAAAGCAAACCAAAAGATGGTGTCGGTCAAACAATCTTATTTGGACAGGCAATCAGTTTTACGGTCTTTCTCGTTCTTTGGTCGGTTTACATGACTGATAATAGTTTTTAAAAGTCTGATATTGAACTTTGAGTATTTTCACTGCATCAAGACTACTTACCTGACCCATTTTTATTGGGGTTAAGGGGGAAACAATGAATCAGCTGATTCCAATGCGGTTTATGTTAATACTCTGGATTGTTCTTGTGATCCACCACTTTTTTGTGAAACCTATGTCTAAGGTCTGAGTGTCTGATGGAAATGCATCTGATTTCACCTTCCACTTCGGTCCAGCCAACACAAGATACATCCATGAACCCGCCGGGTTGACTTCTGTTACTCTGTCCACGGAAGCGAAGCTCCTGGAGAAATTCCTTCGACACAATGGATACATGCCAAGATCGGCGGCCAATTGTTTTCTGTACTGTACTGTACCGTCAAGAGAAGTGGAGGAAGGAGGGCGGAAAAATGCAGAAAGATGCCAGGTCTTGAGGAGGGATGGGAAACCCCACCTTGTTCTGGTGCTTGTTTTAATTTTAGGAAGTGGTTATTCCTTTCCTTAGAAGTGGTGGTGGTGGGAAGAAATACAACTAGAATGCAAATCTAAAGCGAGGCTCATTGCTTGGCAACCCTGGCCGGGTGCAACTTTCTGATGCGGTTGAGATGCGGAGCCGGCAATGTCAAAACTTTGAAGATTAATGGATTACTTTGTTAATGACTCAAGGCGTCAGATTGGAGGTGCTTAAATGATTTGTGAGGTGCGAAGCGCTTGCCTGACAGTCCCAAACAATGAGAGGGGAGGGCGCGGGAGGGGGACAAGCGGGGCAGAAGCCCTACAGGGCGAGCAGAGCCGCGGCGGCTGCAAGAGCGGCGGCGGCGGCGGCGGTAGGAGCGAACGACCAAGCGGCGACCGCAAGAGACGCAGGCACACAGACACTCACTCACACACAAGCACAGTCACTCACCCCAGATATCATTTCAGATTAGGAGGCAAAAGGGGAGCGGGCGAGCGGCGGAGATAAGCCTCCTCCTAAAAAAAAAAAAAAGTGTAAATAATGCCTCTCCGGCCCCAATGAGGCGTTCCTTCTCGACTTTTTTGGATCAATCAAACAGACAGTGGCTTCTTTTGATTAAAGCCCAAATTGTCATTGGGCAGAGGCAATCATGTGACAGCCAATTCGGTCCAATTTCAACCTTGTCTCCATGAATTCAATAGTTTAATAGTAGCACGGTCCCCATACGGCTGTAATCAGTGAATT